CTGCTTTAATTAGCACTGTGGATGTTCCCAAAATAAACGGTGGTTCAAACGCCATGGGTGAAGCGCATTTTTTGTCTCCCGTGCTGTGCAATGTGACTTACCCAACAGCAGCCAAATGAATCCTGCTTTTGAGAGTTTAATGCATGTCTAACTACCGTCATGGGCAGATATATGCACACAAAGCTGGAGATGGATACAGGTCATCTCTTCACTTGGCCTTTGTGTGAGTAAGCCATCATAGACTACCGGTTAGAAAACTAACAGCGTAGCCATGACAACACGATGGAACTGTCTTACCTGATACTCAATGGACCTCAATCTTGTATTGTGAACCTCAGTCCTTTCATTTGACACTGCAGAAGATGAGTGGGAGCTACGTTTGCACAGCTGCATTGTTTGTACTCTTGACATGCAAATGCAAATCTACTGCACTCTACACTGTAAAAAAATAAAAAAAAAAAACCGTATACATAGACCCTTTTTTCACCCTGTCGTTGTTAATTCATAGAAATAGACTGTAAATTTACAAAAACTAGTGATCACCTTTACTTCACAGACTTTTGTATTGATTTCAGTGGTTGTTGCTGTTATTACTATGGTAAAATAGTGTAGGTCAGAATAGCTAACTGAACTAGAGAAAGTGTTGAATTATAGTAAAAAGGAGCATGTCTAAAAATTTAAATGACTAAGTTTACAAATTTGTATGATTACTGTGAAAACATATTTTTACTCTTTTACTGTTAAATAACAGTAAACTGTTTTGTCTGGCTCCTCCTTTTTTTTACAGTGAATGCTATGGAAGAATGAATGAACTCTGATAATTAGCACAGAACTGATACAGAATTCTTACATAATTTACAGTAAAAAAAAACTATCCTAGAATTCTCTACAAAAATAAAATGTAAAAACTAATGACAATATTACTACAAAATATGCAAGATTTTCTGGAAAAAAGTGTATGTGTATGTCAGTGCATTATAGGAACATAATGCATAAAATAACCATAATAGAAAAGTGAGATACTACCTATGTATGTGTATGTGTGTGTGCCTCTGTGTACATATGTATTGAATTGTTGTTATTATAGATTATTGTTGTGGGCAGTGCTATAAAGTTATGCATCAATTTGCAGTTGGCATCGTGCTCATATTAAGAACTGTGGGTCTATGCTGCTCTACTCTTTGGGAAAAATGAAAACATTGGTAAACAAAACAAAAAGTTCTATTTATTTGCTGACTTTAACGTATTGGAAGAAAAAAAAGGAAAACATTTCAAATGTGCAATGACTTTTGCACAGGCTAACTTTTATGTGTATTTTTTTTACCTAATATGTTAAATTTAAGACATAAACTGTAATTGTGAAAAAGCACAGAAGTGTGAACTCTGCACTGTAAGAAATGGTTTGTAAGTTCAAACTAAAAACACTTCATGTGGTAACAAGTAAATTGGGTGGTTTTATTCAAACTAAATCAATACAATGAATGAATGATTCTTTCAATCAAAGTAATTTTTGAGTAGAATAAAACTAGTTCATTTACTTGTTAACACGGAAATTTTTTAGGTTGAACTGATGAACAATTTTTTACAGGGTGTGGAAGATTTGTACATATTTTCACTTAGAAAAGCCACAAAACATGTCATTTGACCAGGGGCAACCAAACTTTTGCGTAGTACTGTATGTAACAACACCAGCTACTCAAACTATAGGCTACTGCCAAACTACCAAAGTGACACATTTAATGAAGCTTGATTGTGTGTGTGGGGTATTTTGGTGAGGTTGCCAGTCTTATGGTGGCAGTTCAGTGTGCAGCAGTGTTAGCTTGTATGTAGGAATATTTGGATTTGCACTACGTAATGATCTTGTAAGTCAGAGGATACAGTGACATTCAGGCATAAATGCCCAACCCCATTTCACCCCTTGCCCCTACCACTTAGCCCTACCCCTCCGTTTTTACGCATTCACGTCTAGGGGTAGGGTGTCCCAATTTTGTTGAGATGGAGGGGTAGGGTGAAGTGTTAGGGCTATGTGGACCTCCAAATGGAGGTTTTTCAGAGGCACACTCCAAACGGAGTGTTATGAGAAAAAATAAAAAACTGCTAAGATGGCTGCACAAGCAACCAAAGAAACCCACAAATGTATTTTCTCCTTTAAAAAATTATGATAACCATTGTATTATCTTAGTTTAATGACATTTCAATGTATTATGGTCCTTTTTTTCAAAACAAGCATAAAAATCGCTAGTAGGACGCTGATATCTCAGTAGCTAGTTAGCTAAATTTCTCATTCCACCTTAAATGGATACATTCTGGTTACATTCTGGCACCTTAGGCATCAAAAATTCTGCTCCATTTAAGGTGGAATGGGAAAATGTGAACAAGAAGCTGGCGAATAGTTGACTTCAGCTTCATATCACTGAAGAATTAGGGGTGGGTGATAATAAATAACTGTCATATCCCGCCCTCTTTGAAGGCACAACGCCCTAAATTTAGCTAAAGCCCAGCAGTGAGGTTGCTGAACTTTACCCTCCTCTGCTGTCACTGCAGACTGGCAGCGTCACCCACAGAGCAGCGCTAATAGCCTGATAATGAAGTAATGTTCTTTATTTGAAGGTTGTCCCATTTCATAGGGGTTAGATTTCAACCACTGCAACTTGTAACTCAGTTTCAAGGTGCAAGGTGACACTCGAAAACAAGGGGTAGGGGTAAAAATATGAAATGGGATTGGGCCTAGATATATGTGTGACAAAGTGTATCGGATTTGGACCATTTCAGCACAGCACAGGGCTCGATGGCAATAATTTTCAAAAATGCAATTCATTTTTTCTCATTAAAAAACAGCTTTAACTTGGTTGAGTTCCTAATACGGGCATGACACCAGCTACAAAATGACAACACAGCTTCAGAGGTCAATAGCTACAGTGTTTGTAGAGTGTGGCTCTCACAAGTCATTGGGTAGCGGGTCCCGATGTAAGTGCACTGTGCTGTGGTATTTCATGCTGGCAAATAAACATCACCTGTTGTTGTGTCAAATAAAGTAAAGGCAACTGAATTGACCTTCATAGCACTTTACTATAACGGTTTTAGCCTTTTGCACTCTTTAGAATAAAGTTTCCTGAAGGAAACTTTATTCTGAAGAACTTTTACATTATGTGGGAGTTTAAGAAGCTTGAAAGATTGAAAGGTTGTTAAGGGAACCAGAAGTGGGACCCTTTTTGGCACCTTTTTTAAGACTGTCATTAGTAGAAATGGGCACTTACTGTAAGCTACGTATTTAATAGCCTTCATCCCATTTACCAGTTATGGGTTTTCCAGTTGAAATCCTCTTCAGCACTATTCACTGGGGCCATGTGTCGCTGTCCATGGTGCTGAAAGTTCCTACGCTATTTGCAGGGCTGGGCAAAATACTTTCAAAGTAGTGATGGCTGAATACTGAATACACTGTACTAAATGTACTCAGTAATGTATTCTGTTACAGTACATAAAAAGCAATGTATTCAGAATACATTCATTTTAGTAAGGCGCATGGGAAAAGCTAATATTTACCTAATTCACACTGTTGCTTGCTGTTACTGGTTGGTTTCTTCATGCAGCTAAGTATTGTGTTAATATATTTCATTAAAACATTTATTTAAATGAAGTTCCAAACATTCTCAGCATTTTTTTCCCTCTTTCATCGCCTGCTTCAGTCCTCTGCTGCACAATCCCCCAAGCAGCACAATACAACGCTGCTGCAACACTCACAAATGCCTTCTATTGAGATTATTAGCTTCATCATCCCTCAAAAGAGCTCAGTAACACTGAGATTACAAACTGACTTCAGTGTTTGTAAAGAAGCCATAAATAGAGGACTTCTTTAGAATTCACCTGACAAGCATGTTTGCTACATGCCATAATTAATAAACTAGCACTGCTATTTATCTGAAGATGCATGTTTTTTTAATTCACTGGATACGTGTTCTAAAAGCATTATCTTAAAAAATTAACTGTATCCAAAATACAGCTTTTTCAAAAGCAACTTGTACTGAATGCAGATAATTTCTGTCTTCTGAATACATATTCTTAATACTTGTATTCCATTATATCCCAACCCTGACTGTATGTTCAAAAGCTTGGAGACACTTTTTTCCCCATCATCAAGCATATTAATAATAAGTTTGCTGTGTGACGTTGATTGCATTCAGCAACAAGTGCATTAGTGAATCAGGTACCAATGCTAGATCTGGTATCGGATGGTGGTCTATCGCTCCAGAGCAGGGATTGACTGGCCATCAGGAGGACTGGGACAAATCCTGGTGAGCCAGCATGTGGGTGGGCTGCTGAGAGAGTGAGACAGAGACAAAAGCATGGTTGTTTCTAATGTAGTCCTATGTAAAAGGAATGGGACAAACCACGTGTGCCAGGGTCACGGGTTTTGGGGGTCATGGTGGGGAAAGAGGGAGCAGTGTAGGTCACCGTGGTGGTAGAGGGGTAGTCTATACAAGAGTCCAGGCTTTGGATTTAATTCCCAGTCCAGCCCTGCTACAGAGAATGCAGTTCCACTGCTCCACAGTCCAGTGCTGGGGGGCTAGGGGGCTTCATAGCCCTCTAGCAGACGCTTGGCATTGGTTGTGGTGACCTTAGACTCAAGTAGGCAAATTCACTAATTGTCTAAGCACGAAAAAACTATTCAGCCCCCATTCAATCTGGGCTCTGATCTTTTATGTGGAGGCTTTAGGGCTGAGAAACAACAGCAAGAACAACAGGAGAGCAACACATGGCACGTCTTTTATCCCCCTGCTCGGAGAGATTGGATGGGATTTTGTGAGGAAACTAAATTGAATTGAAAGGAAACAATGCGCGCTGGACGGGCGCCAGGCTGCTCCGAGGCTTTGCGACTGGGTCTTGCGCGTTGATGCGAAGCTTACGTTACCAATCAGTGTGAACAATGGCTTGTGCGAGAGGAGGGGGCTCGGTGGGGGGGAGGGACGAGGGGTGGTTTTGGTCGGAGAAAGAGAAGGGGAAACGGAACAGAGCGAGCGTATAAGGCAAAACTGGAGGTGAGATCCGTAGCTTCGTCCATCGGGAGACGACCGATGCCTTGAAAGCGGAGAGAGCGGAGGGGTCGCTCGCAGCCCGCCTGGGACAAACGCCAGCTGACATTCGACTGATATTTACGAAAAGGGGGACGCGGTGGACGCTGACCAGCGAGCACGTCGCCTCTTAGAAGAATGGAGGGACGGGACCGTGGCCTTTAGGGACCACCAGGACCGGCTGAAATGACGCTTTTGTGTTTGTCGTTGATGTCTGAGCCCTGAAAGCTCCGCGTGTCCCGAAGGAGCGGACTGAATTCGCCGCTCAGATCGAGCACACAGCTCTGAAGCGTCGGCTGAACAATTACACTACTTGGCTCCGCGCGCTTGACAGGTTGGTAGTTTCTCGTTTGGCTCCTCGCGCTGTGCGCTGGACTTTTGAACCAGTGGACCGCATTCATCTCACCCGACTAAGCCACCTTTGCTGTTTGCTAGCGTTTCCCTGCAGAGCGGCTTCAGTTGATCAGACGCGAATGTGCCTCCAAGTGCAGCCAGTGTGGGCTTAACGGAGTGATTCATTAGCCTGGATGGTTGGCGTGTTGGATGTGATGGAGCGTGTTGTGATGCAGTGAGCTGTTCGTTCTTATTTCTATATTATGCATGTTATCATGTCTGTTTAACAATAGAGTGGATCTGCTGTTGTAGTTCAGATGGATGACTGTAGTGTGGTGGGAGCAGAGGAGGTGTGTAGATAAGGGCCACAGAAAAGAGTAGACCTTCCAAACTGACCATCCAGCACTGGACAGAGCACAGCAACATAATGCCAGTACTGAGAAATACAGACCACATGGATCAGTCAGAGAGAGAGAGAGAGAGAGAGAGAGAGAGAGAGAGAGAGAGAGAGAGTGAATGAATGAATGAAAGAGAGAGAGTGAGTGAAGAAGGGAAAGATGATGGATGGAGGACAGTGCAATGAAAGAGAGAGAGAGGGAGAGAGATAGAGAGACAGAGAGAGAGAGAGAGAAAGACAGAGAAATGGAAATGAATAAAACAAGGAAAGACAGAGTGAATGAAGGGATAAAGAGTGAAGAAGGGAAGAAAAGAGACAGAGAGTAAGGAGAGTGTAATAGAGAGAGAAAGAAAGAAGGAGAGGAATTACTAAAGGAATGATTCAAGAGAATGAAGTAAGGAAAGATGGAAAAAGAGAGATGGAGTGAAGGCGAGTGAGAGAGAGAGAGAGGAGTGAATGAGGGAATGAAAGAGTAAGAGAAGAGAGTGAAGAAGGGACAGAAGACGGATGGTGGACAGTGCAATAATGAAGGAATGAAAGGAAGAGAGAGAAGAAGGGAAAGAAAACAGATGGAGGACGAAAGAGCAGGCGAGAGAGAGAGAGAGAGAGAGATGGAAATAAATAAAACAAGGAAGGAGAGAGTGAAGGAAGAGATAAAGAGTGAAGAAGGAAAGAAAAGAGACAGATTGGGGAGAGCGTAATAGAGATAGAAAGAAAGGAATGAAAGAGAAAAGAGGAGAAGTAATAAAGCAATGATTCAAGAGAGAGTGAAGTAAGGAAAGATAAAAAAGAGAAGTGGGAGTGAGGAAGAGAAAGAAAAAGACGGGAAGAAGAGAGTGATGGAGAGATAGAAAGGAAGGCAAATTAGTAAAGGAATGACTAAAGAGAGAGTAAAGAAAAGAAACATGGAACAAGAGATGGAGAGGAGAAGACTGAAAGAGAGTGAGGTGAAAGAGAAAAGGAAAGATGAAGTAAAGAGAAAAGGAGTAAAAATTGAAAAAAAAAACAGGGATAGTATAGAGCAGGAGAGGAATAAAAGAAGCGAGAGTGAAGAAGGGGAAAACAGAGATGGGATAGAGGAGAGTGATGAAAGAGAGCGAGGGAGGGAAATAAATGAAGGAAGGAAAGAGACAGTGGTGGAAGAAAGAGAGGGAGTGAAGTGTGCAATGAAAGGAGAGAGAAGGCATGAAAGAAGGAAAGAGAGAGAGTGTGCTGGAGGAGATAGGGAAGAAGAGAGATGATGGCTGGGAGTAAAGAGAGAAAGACAAATGAATGTAGGAATGAAAGAGAGAGTGAAGGAGGAGACAAAGGGTGAAGAAGGGTCAAACAGAGAGATGGAATAGAGGAGAGTGATGGGAAGAGTGAGAGAGAAAGAAGAAAGGGAATGAATGAAAGGAGTGATACAGCGGCAGAGCTATGTATGTAAATATATAAATAACTAGAGAGAGAGAGAGAGAGAGAGAGAGAGAGAGCGAGAGAGAGAAAGAGAGAGTGAAGCAGAGGGCAGAGGGATTACAGTGTCCATTTGTTCTGTACACAGCAGCCTCCTTCCAGATGGATGAGTGCTGACAGAGAGTGAGTAGGTGCGACTCAGTGGTGGCCTCTCAATGAGAGTCATTTTTCTGTAGGATTTGGCTCTGAGGCAGCTCCATCCGTTTCATTAGACGCCAAGAGGAGGAGAGGTGCTCAGAACTCCTGAGGATCAGTGTGAGTGCAACAGGGGGCACTCAAAAATATTAATACATTTTAGTTTAAACTTTTAATTTTGCCACTCATTACCATTCAAATCAAACAGAGTAGAGTCAATATTTATAGGCTTTTGTTACCTCAACATAAAATGCAGTTGATCTATGCATGCTTTGCCCACAAATGCATTATTTTGTAGCAACTGTTACTAAAAACTGTTTCTGCGTTGGACATGCATTACAGTACATTGGCAACAAGCCCATTCAGTCTATCCCACCTATTAAAAAATTATAGCCCACTGAGTTTTTTGCAAATAAATATCTAAATTTAGAGAGTTCTGTTAAGCTCAAATGATACTATGTGTTCTAGTTCTAATTCATTTTCCAACTGCTTTAGACAAACAGTTTTGCCTTTATGGTTATTTCATACCATTCTAAAGCATCTAACTGGATAACAACTAGCTTGCTTGCTAGTCCAAGCCCACTGACAGGTCCAAAGTTCTATTACACACGTCTATAACCTAAGAATAGCTCAGTCAGTTTGCACAGAAGTCCCTGTAGTTACTGAATAATAAGCCTTAGTAATAAACCTGGGATTTTAATGGATCAACTTATTGGCTGATATGAAATGATACACGACATTGTTCTGTGCATGTTCCCTCACAAATTATCTACAAGAAATTTAGAAATATGCGCAAACTCTTTTCATGGGAGCTAGCATAAGTGCTAATAATGTTACTAGCTTATCACTTTAGTGAACTCGAATTCTAAAAATAGCAATCGACACATCACTCTATCATTCTACGTTACATTCTGGTGTATTTAGTGGTGGTATAACAGTGCCTGGTGACATTATCTTCACCTAGAAGAGTAAAGAAATTCATAAAATTTGTCATTGGCTTCAGCTGCAAGTGTAACCAAATACAGAGGAGAGCACCATCAAGTACTATTAGGCCCTGCTGGAACTTCTTGAACAGGTAGTTTATCAAAACAATATAAGTGATTCTAAAAATACAGAGTGCATAGAATTTACTTTGGTCTATCTGCGAGTGTTGGCAAAGTCCTGTTTGTACCAGTCATCAGCAGGTACCACAAACCATAAAATGGAACCTTCCTATCTTAGCAAAAAGGGTTCTATATTGTACTAAAAAAGGGTTCTTTTTGCTCACAACAATAGCAGAACCATGTTGTGGAAACATGGTGCTGTGTAGGACAATTTTAATAGGTTCTTCTCATTGAGAAGAAGCAAAAAGAAACATGTAAGCATTTAAATGGATCCTTGAGTCATCATGGTTCTATATATAACCATTAACTTTACTAGAGAACCCTTGAAGAACCTCTTTTTTAAGGGTATACTGGACTTATGGCCAATACAAAAAGCACAGTTCTGGTTTCTGGTGCTAAAGTTTCCAGTACTTAATGCAGTGAAAAAATTCCGTACAATAGCATTTTAAATGTAAAATTGTAAACTGGAAACTTGATCGAAACTATAACCTAAATTCATTTTAGCCACAGTTCTGTAAAGCTTGTCCAGCCTAGCAGGTACCTACCTAACAGCTGCTGCTGAAGACCAGGTTTGTGGGCAGAGCATGGACAGGCCATTGTAATATATGCTGATACATTTTCAGGTAGCAAGTCAAACAGCCTCCTTGGTTGGTTTTTTGAGGACTCCATCAAAACATCATAAACATGATCATAAAAATGTGTGTATCTTCGCTAAGTTGTCGTTGGCCTTAGCTGCAAGTGTTGGCAAAGTCCTGTTGGTACCAGTCATCAGCAGGTACCAAAAACCATAAAATGGAACTTTCCAATCTTAGCAAAAAGGGTTCTATATTGTGCTAAAAAGGAGTCTTTTTGCTTGCAACAATAGGAGAACCATACTTGGTGCTGCGTAGAACCATTTTTTACAGGTTCTTCTCATAGAAAAGGAAAGGAAAAGAACCACATAAGATTTAAATGGCTCTTTGGGTTGTCATGGTTCTATATATAACCACTATCTTTACTAGAGAACCCTTGAAGAACCTCGTTTTTAAAAGTGTTCTGGACTGATAGCCAATACAAAAAGCACAGTTCCAGTTTTCTAAATTCCTTAAAATAGCATATTAAAATGTAGCATTTTAAACTGAAAACTCGATCTAAATTATAATCTAAATTCATTTTTGTCAGAGTTCTGTAAAACTTGTCCAGCTTAGCAACAGCTGCTACTCAAGATCAGGTTTGTGGGCAGAGCATGGACAGGCCAATTTTAATATATGTTGATATATTTTCACTTTGCAAGTCAAAAAGCCTCCTTGATTCATTTTTCTGAGCAGTCCATCAGAACATCATAAACATGATCATAAAAATACAGAGTGTGTCTTGGCTAAGTTGTCGCTGGCTTTAGCTGTAAGTGTTCTATCATGAGCAGATACCAAATACATAAAACTGCAACCTTCCACTCTTGGCAAAACAGATTCTAGATAGTACTATAAAGAGGTTCCTCCACGTAAAAAAACAGGCATTTTTAATATGTTGTTTAGAGAACCACAGACAAGAGGTTTTCCAGTATAGAAACTTACGATTTAACCAGGCAAGAAACACATAAGCATTCAAATTATTCTTTCAGTTTGCCTTTGTTGAGCAGTCGATTCAAACACTATGAACGTGATTACATAAATACAGAGCGTATAGCAGAATTCTGCGACCTGAAAAAACACATAACTGTATTGACAGCTTAATATGGTGGTACTAGGCTAAGTATAATGGACATAATGTGGACCATAAGCCTCTTAGTGAATTCTAAATACGACATATGGGCTGATATGTTGCGATCTGCATCTCTGAATCAAATCAAGTCGACTTTTATTTCTAAATCGGTTCAGAAAACACAAGGAAGATATTGGACATGTCGAACAAACTCATTTTTCAGAGAGCCCGTGG